TTTCACCCCTCATTTTATTAGACACAAACAGAGGAAAGTATAGAAGGTCAAAGGTGACGCAGCGTCACACGCCACCAAAACACAAAATCTTATCAAGCATTTTTGTCTAGTTTCTACTTCAAATATTTTAGTTCATTTGAAATAAGACAAAACTAAACGTGAAAGTAACTTTTCTTCAAGATGCAGGAGCTTGTTTTAAGTAAATATTTCCTTAATATTGAAGAAAAGGTACCAGTTCCACTGGTGGATTATTTAACTTATAACATGGAAAAAATGTTTTGTTATCCGTGAAATAATCTGTCAATAGAACTACAACTTTTCCTTCTTTGCTTTATCAAAACAAAGAATATTACTGAATAGATAAAAACAACAGATATCTTAAGAAATAAATCTTTTAATTTATTTAAAATACAAAATGTGGCCTTTGAATGTCTCAGCTGTTTCCTGCCTACAGTCATGAACATCTACAGCAACACTTTGAATTAATATGAGTTACAACCGCAGTTAATTTTCCTTTGGGGTCAATAAAGTATTTTTGAATTTGAATTTTGAAATGAACTTGACCATTTTGGGCCTAATGGAAAAATGCAAAAACACAAAATCTTACCAAGTATTTTTTGTTCTGGTTTCTGGTACAATTATCTTAGCACACTTGAAATAAGACAAACTAACTGAAAAGTAACTTTTCCGCAAGATATAGAGGATTGTTTTAAGTAGATAACTCTTAAAACTGTTGAAAAAGTGTTAGTTCTACTGGAAGATAAATTAACTTACAACATGGGAATAATGTCTTGTTATGAGTTAAACAATCTGCTAATGGGACTAGTACTTTTTTAAAAATCAATATTAAGGGATTATTGGTCTTAAACAATCTCCTAATCTTCCTAAAAAGTTACTTGTAAGTTAGGTTTTTTTCTCGTGAACTAAGGTATTTGTACCAGAAACCAGACCAAAAATACTTGGTAAGCTGCACAGATCTATTCCTTGCTGCTCTGCTTTCACTGGATTTAGTTCAAGAATCTGGATAAATATTACCGAGGTTTGGCTCCTCTTCCCCCTCCTAAAATAAATAAATAAAATAATAAATAAATCCCTGTCTCGCTTCTGATACATGCCCATAATAAAGCAGGCGCTCTGGCAGCCTCAGCCTGACGCTGAGGCACGCAGACCCTCTCTGACAGATGATTCATGCGTCGCCCTGGCCTCCGGAGCGAGGCAGCTGATTGGTTGGTTGGCTCGCAGTGACCCAGGGAGACAGTGATGAGGTGCTGGCACACTCACATAGCTCCAGGGAAGGACTACAGAGTCATGCAGCACACTCATGCCTCTGACTGCTGTGCTGCAAATCTACAGAGGCTGTAACAGCGCGGAGCTGTGTCAACACCGTAATGTTTTCATCTGTGTTGTGGCTCCTCGCAGGCTTTGGCTCCGACTTCCTCCAAAATCATCAAAATACTGTAAAGGTGACCTGCTGTTCTTCCTTGAACAGGTTAGGATATATCTACAGGTGATACAAAACATGTTCATTATAGTTTTCTGCTGAAAATTATCCTCAGATTATGAGATTTTAATCTGTTTGATTTCAGATTGAGCTTTTTTAGGGACTCTGTCTCTTTAAATCCAAATAAGCTGCTGCTGGCCACGCCCCCTAACTCAACGTTTACAGTCACATGGAAAAATGGCTGCAAACAGATGCACAATTACATAACCATACATGCTTGAAAAGCAAAAGTAAAGCCTCCTGCACAACCAAGAATGCAGCCAAAACACAAAATCTTACCAAGTAATTTTAGTTTAGGTTTTAGTTCAAATATCTTAGTACTTTAAATAAAACAAACTAAGCTTAAAGTAGCTTTTCATTAGGACACAGAGGCTTGTTTTAAGTAAATATTTCATTAACATTGATGTTCTACTGTCAGATAAATTAACTTAAAACATGGGAAAAATTTATTCTTATAAGCGAAATAATCTGCCAATAGAACAAGAACTTTTTTTTATCAATATTAAGGAATTACTGACTTAAAATAAGCTCCTATATCTTTCTGAAAAGTTACTTGTAAGTTAGTTTGTTTTATGTCAAGTTTACTAAGATATTTGCACTAAAAACTAAACCAAAATTACTTGGTAAGATTTTATGTTTTTGTAGTGTGGTTTCTGTAAGCCAACAATAAAAAGCTTGTCTTTTCCAGCAGCCATTGTACAGCGCATACAGCAGTAGAACCAGCTGAACAAACGTGGTGGAGCTCAACTTGGGTTGCTAGGTAACGGCGCGAATGTGACTCAACAATCGGGAGGCTTTTGGATTTCCAGGCACCAAAAAGCATCTGGGTGATTTTTTAAGAACTTCGGATGTTTTTAGACGCAGCTGAGACCCAAATGGACAAACAAAAACATACAAAATGTGAATTTTTGCACAACAGGTCACCTTTAAATTGCAGCTACTGAGAAAACTCAAGGTGACCTTCTTAGTTTATGAACTTATTCCTAAAACTAATTGACATTAGAGCGGGTGACGTGCTCAAGCAGCTGTGGAGGTAAATATGGTCGGATAAACGTCCCTCCTCCTTCCTAAACTCTCCCAGCTGAACTGAAGCCGCTCCAACGTCGACCCTGCATCATCGTCTCTGCTGCTGATGGAGGACAAACACTTTGGATGACAGTATGTTATATAACACACAATAACTGCTTACCTAAACTAAAGAAGCTGTTCTTTACGTTTATTAAATATTTATTTTTCATGTACATGATGCACAACTTTGAATAATTTCATCAACAGCAATCAGTTTCCATTTGGGATCAATAAAATATTTTTGAATTTGAATGTTTTGGCTGTCAATAATGCAACTTCATAATTAAAATATTGATGTTAAGCTATTTAGTAATCCGTTACTCTATATTATTTTAATGATTAATTGAATATAAATAGGTCTTAATACATTTATTTTTAGCAAAATCTTTGGTTGAACTTCTTAGATATATGTTGCAATCTTTAATGAGTTAATTTTGAATCCGCTGTAATTGCTTTTTTTTTTTTTTACTGTTGCAGCCCTTTGATATCTCAAGACATAGAATGCATTATAAATAAAAAAAAATATTATTATTATTTTTCCTTTATTGTCACATTTTGCTGATTTGTCATTTAACCATTTAAAACCATTTTATACATAAATAAAAACTACAAATGAACAAAAAATGCAACAGAAAGACTCAGTTTTACATTTTGTAGATTTGTTTGAAAGAAGTATGCTTTTATGAGAAAATAAAAAAATAAGGTCAATATGTTGATTAATTTTGGATTAACTGATTAATAATTGATTAGCAATTTTTTTTACATAATTTAAACTGGGTGAAGCTAAAACTTAGGTTCTTTTTAAACGCTAAATATATATTTTTTGTACAGTTTTGGCCTAATTGCTGATCTGTATTCCCTTCTTAAGTTGGTTAAATGTATTTAAACATCTGTTTAAGGCAGCAGATAAAAAATGTTGAAGTGTCTTTGGAGGAGGATTAAACTGTGATTTCCTCCCTCAGTGGAACGGGACTGTGTTACTATAACAGTGACACACATTCCTGCCGGAGTGTTCTGCAGAAAAACATCAAAACACGACAGACTCGTCACAAACCCATCGGAGCAAAAGAGACGAAAGGAAAACCCCAGAAAGTGAAGGTTCAAACGCAGAGCAGAGCCATTAACTTTCTACTCATTTCACGTTCTCTGTCATTCGGCTCGAGGCGCCGCGCAGATTCTTCATCTGTGTTACAAACGCTCTATAAATAGTAAAGATGCGCCAGGAAATGGGATGGTGACCTGAATCTGTGCAGCTGACCTTTCCTCATCTGGGATTGGCCGGTCAGAAACTAAAAAAATCACAACATTTTGCAGCTCACTACCAATTAACACTCTTAAGTGTAAACGTTGTTAATGAGCTCATAGTTGGCTACTGTTAAGTCTCAATGAGGCGATGATGAACTCGGGGATTTTTACTAAACTTTAGCAAAATTTTTTTTTTTTTTTTTTTTTTTTTGATGAGTTTAATTCTGTCTAGATTTAACAGTGAACAGGCACAGAAACATTAATTGTGCTAATTTATATTGTTAGTGGCTGAGAATAGTTTAAAAAGTCAACTCTGTGGTCATTTTGTTTTTGAAAGCTTTAATAAAATCCACTTTAACTGCAGAGCTGTGTAACATAGCCTGCTCTCTGTCTCTCACAAGCTGCAATCACAAAACAGATCTTATCATTTTCAGCGTCCTAAATTAATTGGCTAAAAAATAAAAATTATTTAAGAATATTTACTTGATTTAGCAAAAATATCTAAACCAAGGGTGCTCAAAGTGGGGGCGGGGACAATATGCGGCCCTTGGATGGATTTTGTGTGGCCCCGTCCAACTACAAAAAGTAAATAAATTATGAAAACCCTAATTTTTTTATGTGTTTTTTTTCTTCAATATATATATATAAAACAACGCTGAACAAAAACTAAATGCTATCAGACATGGAAAAACTATTTCTATTTTATTTTTTACAGTTGATACACAAATAGCAGGCAGATGTCAAACTTGTTAACTCGTTTACTGTAAATAATAAATTCTAATTCAGAATCATAATTCCTTTTATTGTTACTGTGCAAGAAAGCACAACAAAATCTAAAAAACAGCAACTCTGAAAGGCAAGTCGAAAAATAAATATATCAAATCTCAATAAATCTAAAAAACATAGTAGAAACACAAAAACAACAGGAATGTTAAGGGGAAAAAAAATGTTGTTTTTTAAAATTATTTTTAGTTTGCTAATCCTTTAGGGTTAAAATCAACAGCCATAAAAACACCAGTATGATACAAGCTAATTAGAAATCATGCTATAAATGATCAAGAATCTGGTGTTGGCATGTTGGTATGGGGGCTGGAGGCTCCAAGTGAAAACCTGCTTTCAGGGCCCCAGAAAAGTTTTGTCCGGCCCTGTTTATGATCTCTGCTAAATGAATGAGAAAGAAACTTACCCACTGTAGTACTTTTATAAATCCCAGTGGTTGCTTGACTACTGTGAACTGCCCTTGGGCCACCAGCTGTCAACATAACAAACAACAATAAGATGCAGCAGATTCTTTATAATATTTATAAGCGCAAAGTTATAATGAACGCTCTTTTCTAGAGTAGTGAAAAACACATTAGCTGTCACAACTTTGTGCGGTTATGAAATGCTGCGTGAGTGGAGTAGAGAAAGGGCTGCTGTCAGTATTACAATTAGACAAAGCTGATTAACTGTTTCTCTCCTGCAGCATCCTACCAGCGGCAGCCATTTTTATTTATCTCTTTTACTAAGGGGAAATCGTCTTAAATTTGGCGCAAGAGAGGGTATTTGTGCGCAGGTGGATGCGACGCCGCAGTCAGAAGGTGTGCATCAGTAAATGGCCGTACATCGAGCAGCTATGTCTCTCTCTCTCTCCCTCCCTCTCCCTCTTTTTCTGAGGTTGTTTTGTTTTCTAGGCATCCTAATGAAACAGGTGACAAAATCTGCTCTCAGATCAGCCTGACAGCTCGATGAGCGCCTGGTTTTCCAGAGCAAACATGAAGGGTTTTATTTAAACCGCTCGGCTGTTTAGAGAGCTGCGGGAGACCTTCCTCGTCGTCGTCCTCCTCCTCCTCCTCCTCCTCCTCCAGCTCCTTCACCTCCTCCTCTATATGTTGGGCCTGTGTACTGCCCAGAAAATTAATCACATTTCGCTTTTGTTATCTTAGCAACAGCGGCCTAATTGAAACAGGAGCAATCTGAATCAATTATCCGAGTCTCTCTAGAGAGATCGGTCAGTATCATCTCCTTCCTGGGCTAAATGTCCCTGCTGCGGCTCTCTGGACATCCTGCATAAGCGGGCCGCTCAGTCTGCAGAATCACTAGCCGAAAAAAAAAAAAATCCAACGAACAATGTCTACGCAAACTGGAGTATTATTAATATTAATATTATTATTATTCATCAATATGGCTGAATAAATATTTAAAATCCAAACGCTTGTCAGGATTGCATCAAAATCTCCAACAAGAACGGACCAAATCTGAATTAAAAATATTAATATCCCAACCCGCGACGCGCTCTATGCATTAACATTAACTGAAGACCAAATGTAAACAGGGACAATAATACAAATAGGAAGATAATTTCCTACCTGGTTCACAACATCCATCTTGGCCGCTTACTCGCTGATAAGAGGATCAGGAGGGCGGAGGGAGGGAGGCGGCCCAGCCGGAAGAGCTCGGAGGGGGGGAGACGCTCCGGAGGAACAGCCGGGCTGCATCACGAGCTGGGATTTACGAAGCAAGAGGAAGAGTTGACGCCGCATTGGCCTCGCCGTAGACGCCATACGTCAGCACGTTCGCCATGTTGTGAGTGGCATGTTCTGCTTGGAGTCCAAATAAAACGTATTACCGTCTCTCAGTTCCGACCTGTCAATTCTGATATATACAGAGCTGGGTAGTAACTAGATAAATTTACTCAGTTACATTTACTTGAGTAACTTTTTGGAAAAAAATTTACTGGAAAAAAATTTACTGGAAAAAAATTTACTGGAAAAAAATTTGTATGTTTATTACTACGCTGTAATTTTATAATGAAGTATCGCTAACTTATTCAGGGGTGAAAAGTAGTTTTAAATTCTTGCTGGCGTTCTCGTTACACCTGTTTACTTTCACCTCTGCTCTTACAGAACACACAAACACAACTCTTGGTTTTGATGATACATTTTTAGACAAACTGATGGGAGAAAGAGAGGATGGAATTGACAGAAGGCAAATACATCAGCACACCTTTGCTCAATTTCTGGATTTTCTACCCACTGAATGAAAAACAAACATGTTTTAATCAATGATTCACCAGACAAACTGATTAATTCTTCTTAAAGTTTCATATTTCAATATTGAAAAAAACTAATTTGGATTTTTTTTGGCCCTCTTTTTGTTATTTGGTATTTTCATTTGTAAAATACCAAACTTTCCACTTAACAATATATTTTGGTCTGTCTGATTATGTAATTTTTAAATATTAAATGACATTTTACTCTTTTACTCTTAGTGGAGTAATTACTTAGATACATTTTACTTTTACTTGCATAAATTTATAGGGAATGTGCTGCTCTTATTAATGTATAATCCTTAGGAAACCCATTGAGCAAGATCACTAATTTAAATCAGGCTCCGAGTTTAAATAGAGCACGATAAAACACTGAAGATTTTATATTGGTATAATTTTGCTTATTTTCATTACTCGTCAACTCACATATTTTGTTTTTATTTTCATGTAGGTCTAAAAAAAGTTATATTTGGACCTAAAACCATTTGAAGAGAATTGTAAAAACATGCCACTCACAATATGGCGTCCTAGTTGGCGTGTATGGCAAGCCGTTTTAACATAAATTCGGTTTCGTCTGACTATCC